AATATATTGCTGAATATGAATTTAATTGTTATAAGTTTTAAAGGGAATAACTAAGAATGTTCTGGTTCACAGTATATAGACAGGTTGCTCTTGTGAAGAGAAAACCTAAAATGTCTATTAATATACAGTTTTTGAAATGGATCTTTTTGCTTTTGATCTTTTTTTCATGTATTATACGATTGTGAGATCGCAATAGGTGGAAAAATATAAATATGTTACTATTTATGTCTTCTCATATAGATGCATTCAGAGTATTGTTCAGTTGGTTCTATCTCATGAAGAAATACTGAGGAAGGATGGTAAATTTTGGACCCAGTGCAAGGAAAAGTTTTGCTTCCACATAATATTACATGCACATTATTGAATAGGTGTAGGACTAGATCTTTATACACCTTTTATGTAGTACAGGGGTATAATGAAACATAAATGCYAACTTACTATAGGACCACCTCTTGTCAGTATGTGCATGAGAAATGGGAGCTAAAGCAAACAGATTGTGGCCCTTCCTGTAACGGTAGAGTTTGCACATCAGCTTTCCAGGCTCTAATGTCATATACATGAAAGTCCATATATGTGTGCAATTCTTTGAGACTTCTACTGTTTTTATATTTTTTGGTTTGTGTTTTATGTTGCGTGCATGAAGATGCAGATTTTTCCATATTTAGGAAAATACATTTAGAAATAAATAAGTGCAGAAATGTGCAGATGGTTTAGGGAACAGGGCTTCTGTAAAGGTTAGGAGAGCTGTGATGCCAGCCCGAAGCAATGACATTGGGCCGGTGACAAGAAACCCCAAGCAGGACACTCATATGGGATCTCAGTCACAAATATATGTAAGTCATCCAGCCCCCCACTCTAGAATCATCAGGCTTTAACCTAAATGTATATAGTTCTGACCCCAGTGCTATAAGGACATCCTAGAATTGTGTCAAAGGTATCAGGAAATAAGAAATGGAAATATAGCAGTTCTGGAGCGTAAGATTCTTGAAAAAAAATTACATCGAATGATAGAATACTCATTTTTGAACTTTTGCCTTAGGCATCAGATATGGGTTAAAAAAATGATCTCTTATTCAGGAGGTGGATATGTTGTCATGAGGTACTACTCAAAAGGCAGTGCTTTAATATCTTCTCTGCAAAGGATGTATCACAGTCCATTCATATACCAGGTAAAAGTGGAAAATTGATGTAGTCATTCATTTTCAATCATTATCATGAATCAGTTGCAGGGCTTAATTTACCCAAACTAACACAGAAATCTAGTTCTGTGATAAAATCAGTTTGACAAATTTTTTTAGAATAATTTGTATAGGAGTAATTTCTTTTGTTTCAACCAGTGAAATTGTCCCTTTTAACTTTTGAAATTGATGTTTTATATTGAAAAAGAAAGCAGATTCATAAAAGAAGTGAAGAAAAACAAAAGGTTTATGTAGATGTGCTTCTGAGTCCAGATTTATCAACAGAAGTAATCAAGAAAATATCAAGATTTCAAGGGTTCCTGTTCTTAGGAGGTATCAGTGCTTTCTCAGTTAGTGTGTGCACCGTGTTTGTGTATTATGCCCAAGAAGAAAGTATTTAGACCAGTAGACCAAATTCAGCAATCAAACCCTCAGAATTTCCTTTGATCTCCTGAAACACTGCCACATTACCCAGATTACTTTCTTTGAAAGAAATGAGGTTGTCTTTCAGGTACTTTGGTCTCCCTGATGGAGAAGATTAAACTTGAACACATTTCACGTAAGRCAGATAGAAGATGATCACCAACAGACTACCAAAATTTGTTGCTTCTCAGACAGTAGCAATTCACAGTTTATTTACTGTGCATTTTTTTTCAGAAATCGCTTAAGCTCCTCTGACCTTAACCAAACCTAAAATCTTTGAATCTTTTTGCCTTTTATCTGCATGGGCATTTTCTGCAGGTTTAGCTGYTTTATCAGCCCAGTAATAGCATAGTATGGGAACAGTGGGCAAATAAATAAAAGGTCTTAGCACCTCTTCCATATTTTGCTGTTTTCTCTGTTTTCCACCTGAGATCAGGTCCTAATCCTCACTCAATAGGTTGATATCAAATGTTGTCTCTGGAATATGTTCCCCTAGCAACTATTGATAAGAAGATCCCCAAACATACTGGGAGACCATTCTATATATATGAAATCCTCAAAGAAATTGTAGAGATTGATTAACAAATTTTTAGTAATGGAGGCTTTTTTTTTTTCATAGCCCACTTTCCACTGTGGATTTCTCTTCAACAAGACCCACACAAACCCAAGGACCTCCACTGCACATTTCTACATGTCCTATGATTGCCATGCTTTTCCTACTGACACAGTTTGACTTCATCTCGTGCCAATGAGCAATCCTTCTTTATGCACCCTGCAGGTATTGGTTGGTCACATCTTAATTGGCTACTGTTAGTAAAATTAATGAGCTTTGAGCACTTCAGCTCTCATTTACTTTGTCAGGTGTCCTGGGATATCCAGGAATAAGCCTACTTGTCAAAATTAAAATAAGAAATGYCTGAAATATAGCTTGTATGCACAGGAGAGTCCATTTATGTATCTTTTTTTACTAATCAAAAGGACCGCTTTAAGTCTTGCCTCTATTATTTCAGATATTGGAGCTACTTCATATATTGTAGACTTTAAACAAAGATTTAAAAAAAAAACAGAATCAAACAGTTTTATTCATGATAGCATATTCATAATGAAACATTTTTTTGAACTTTCTCCTTAATAAACAACACTTATTTCATAAGAACTCGATCTGTTCTGTTTGCATCCCTGAAAATCTAATTTTTAGGTTACTTTAAAAAAAAAAAAATAAAAAAGGTATCTGGAGAAATTATGAAAACTGGTTCCTTGTTTCCAAAGCTTTCTGTTAGGAAGCATYAGGCTGCTAAAAGACATCGCTTTTCATTAACTGTAGAGCCCTGTCTGTAAGAGTGCAGGAAGATGGTGTTAGGCCATCCTGCAAATGCCAGGTTCTTCCAAGGTGCTAATCACTTGCAGACTCCTTTGATTGAAATTAATTGTGACTACCTGGGACTTTCAAAGAAGGCCCAGGCTGACTTAGAAAGCTGCTTTCAAACATGCAAGAAGAGGTGTTTTCCTGAGCCAGCAACCTTTATTGATGAAGTAAGACTTTTTTTTTCTTTATTTGCTCTGACTAAAGCATGCCCAGTGTTGCATTCCTATCCAAACATGTTAATTCTTGTGTGAGCTGCATKGGTTGCTGTAGCAGGGGCGGGGGAGAAGGGTGACTTACTTAGAACTTAAGTATTATATGTATTTAAGATCTTGGAGCTCAGCTGGGATTTTCTTTAGTGATCTAACTTTTTTTCCTTGATATAAAATCTTGTTKGTAGTATATTGCATAATAATTTGCTGTTTTTAATAAATTTTCAAAATTATTTTGTACAGTTGAACATTCTAAGATGTGTTAGGTAGGCTTTAACRTGGAATATGCGTAACAAGCTTCTTCTGATAACTTCACAAAAATGCATTTTACTTTTTACTTGCATATAGCAACTTTCTGAGATATACATAATCACAGAACTTTCCTAAAAAATCTGCAGACTTAAGGTTCTTCTGAATTGTTTAATTTGAATGAATAAAAAGGCAAAACACATCATGAGATCTTAGTAGAAAGTCCTTAGGTAGATGGAGGAAAACTATTGGATCTTATTTTGGAAGGCAACACCTTGATACCTTTTAAAGTGAATGTACTATATTTGCTTTCTTCCTGGCATGCACCTATAGCTCACAACTTATATTTTTGGGAAATATGTGCTCTCATTTAAAATAAGATATGCTAGGGTGTGTTTATGTTACTAATTACGAACTAGAACTGTAATAAGCATACTGAACTATCGTATTCTTCATCATTTCATTTTGTAATGACTTTATATTGTATACACTGACTTCTGGAACTTTTCAAAATGATATTTTTGGAATGTCTTTTCTGCTGTTCAGACTGCAGATGTTCCCTATGCCAGATGCACAACTTGAAGAATAACAACTGCTAAAAATACACAGTCAGCTTTGTTTCACCAAGGGAAACTATAACTTTAAATAAGATAAATCTGCAGTTAAGTACAATGCAAATATCTTGAGTTATTCCCACACAGATAATAATCCCATCATATGGTGCAAATAATCACATTACAAATGCATGATCTGAGTCCAAGGTGGGGTAAATGAGGGGGGAAAATTGTTATCTAAATTATATCTAAATTGTTATATAAATTAGTAGCATTGACATCAATTTTGGAAAGAAAATCACAAACAATTATAAAGTTTATTTAATCAAATGCCTTGTGACAAAAAATGTGTCACATTTTTGTTCTCTGTGTGAAGATTTTTAACAAATAGCTCATATTTTGTGATTATACCTATAAGATCTCACAGCTGTAATACTTTTTACAAGGTCAGATAACATACCAGGAGACAAATGTTTTATTAAGCGAACTATAAAACTAACATGATTTCAAATAAGCCTTAGAAAAAATCAGGCAAGGGGGCTCCCTTTTTACCTGCTCAAGGTTAATCATTGTTTGTCAGGAAGACAGTAAGGAAAGGCAGCAGGAGATGTGGCAGCCTGGTGGCAACCGCACAGACTCAGCATCTCCAGCAGGTCCCATTTGTCAAAGTTCTTCCCATTGATAACGTCAGAATGAGGACACTCACTTTGGCACTGCTCTTATGCATAAGCAATCAAGTCAACAAATTAACGTGCTGTAGGCTGTAACAGAATTGGACAAACAGGTTTAACTTGTAGATAATAGTTCTACAATGGTCTGTGTCAAGCAGAGGTATTGAAAGGTCATGACATGTTCCTTTTTCATTTTTACCGTAAATTAGTTTGATTCATGTGAGCGTGGATGTGCAAATACATAAAGTGAGTTTAACGKGAGAAGGAATTTGAGGGAAAAGCAGAGGTGGGTTTAGGGGATAACTTGGATGGAAGGATGGTTTTCCAAGTGCAAACTTTAAAGCTCCTACCTCTCTGTAGATTCATCTGAATTTTCCTCTGTGATCATCTGCAACTCCTGTGTGGTTTTTGACTCTTCTTTAACACAGCTTTCCTCGGTGCTCGGTTTGAGAATATCCTCATTTGCTCGGAGCTGTTCTATGAGGTTTTGTTGGTGCCAGGACTGGATAGCTCGGTGGTGGCCRGGGGTAGGACCCGGCACGGGGGCCAGGATGTTGTGGTGGACGGGGCTGCTGTTTTTCTTCAGCCCATTCCTGTCCCGAGAGTGGTTCTTCAGCCTGTTCTGGACGGGGGTCCCTCTGTGCTCATATCCTTCCTGCTGATGGCAGCCCCCGGTGCCGGCGGAGCCTTGCGAGGGGTGGCTGAACCACCTCCAGCGGAGCCTCAGGATCTGCTTCACATCAAACTCCTTCTTCCCAGATACTGACATTTTTTTCAGAGAAAGGAGGAGAAAAAAAAAAAGAAAAAAAGCCCGAGACAAAAGCCTATTCTTTCAGGAAGGAAATGGATTCTTTGTTATCTCTTGGTTTCAACTCCTCTTCTTAAGAAAAGGCAACAAAAGAACAAATACCGGTAGCTCGCTGGCTCTCTCCTGATTAATGCRCGGCGAGCTCTTCCAGCCGCTGCTAAGCCGCTGCTAGCTGTATAGGTGGGAATCCATACTGACAGGATGATGAGGTCAGACCTTAAACAAGTAAATCAGCTTAGCACAGGAAAGCAGCAACCATAACACTGCCCAGCTGCYGGGCTTACACGCACGCTCTATAGCACGGCGCTCTCCTATATAAGCCAGCCCCACATGATCCGAAGGGATCTCGAGCTGCGACTTAAGATGCACGAAGGCACCCGGCGATGAAGTGATAGGCTTTCTATCTCGTGAGGGTTCCCGKGGAGCCCGCTAATAAGCAGTTCTGCCCTTAACACAAGATTAAAGTGCATTCTTCTGGGCTGTTCTCACGCGGATTTTTGGTGATGATTCCCCGGGAAGGCATCCTGCGCTCCGTGCGTTTCCTTAAGAGCTTTGCATTTGTTTATCTTGCTCTGCAACATTCCTACAAATGGCCTCAGTGTGGTGGTACTTACCTAAAGGAAAGAGGCGGCATTTGAATGCGCTCTGCAGAGCCCTGTGTGTTTTCCCACCTACGGACTGAATTTCTGCTATAATCACAGGGCTCTGAGAACAGGGAGAGAGAGCTTGCACAAACCAGGGATGTGCTCCCCGAGTGACTGTGTCTGTGGAAAACACAGTGTTTCCTGGCGAAGCGCCTGTGTAAACAGCCTTTGCCATCCTGCTCTTCATTTCTCACGGTCCATGAAAAGAGTGTGATTTAAAATAATAATAATATCCTTTTTTGATAGTATGCGGCGCAACATGTTTTCAGCAAAGGTAAAGATGGTACAGATTTGTTCTTATCTATTTTCTATCTAGTTTCTTATCTATATATCATTAATATASAGAGTCGTATTTTTCACAATAGCATACCCAAAGTCTTGACATTATCTTGAAGATTATTTGAAAGCCATAGCCAACACATCCTCATTGCTAYGTTGAATATTGATGCTGAGCTAGTACACTAAAATGTACATTAACATGTGATTTTCGTGGCATGGTAGGTGCCCATGGCATGTGGAAGAAGTGGAAAATTGGTTGCAAATAAGACTAGTAGAAGCTCATCTTCCTTATGTGAGAGGATAACCTGTTTGTGGGAGCTAAAACACAAGCCTGACCAGCCTTGCTGTAGTGCATCAACATCGTTGTCCCAGTTGGATCCTGCCACTGGATCCTGTGRTCCCAGCAGTTGTCAGGACTTGTGTGCACCGCATCTGCCCCAGCTGAAAGTCAGGATTAAACGCCCAGCAGAAGCTGGCTTTGCTTAGGCACCAAACTGGGAGCTTCAGCAGCTGCTGTGCAAGCAACTGTTCTGTTCTGCTGCTGTTCCTCCCACTGCGCGGGCTCACGCACAGACACTGCCCCTTTGCCACAATTAGGCATCCCAAATTGGTGCYATTCACCTAAAACAGAGTAACAAGTAACACAGAGCTCCATTTAATAGTAATCCACTAAGACAAACTGTGTACTATTATGGATGAATATATTCGAAACCTATATATATATGTATATAGGTGTCTTATGATCTCTTTATTATAGTCTTCACTTTTCTTAGAATCCTATGCATGTTCTTTACTGGAGATTGAAATGAAAGAAGGGTTTCTGTGTGTCAGGCTGAGTGCTGTTAATAGACTATATTCTTAAAAGACTCAATTTTCACTTTTATAGGAAAGGATAGAAATCAGAACTGTTGAGCTTCTAAGGATGTGTAGATTAAGAAGGATCTTACCCAAATTATGTAGAGAAAATGGAGAAATGAAAATGCTGATTATTGGATAAGAGAGACAATTATATCTCTCCAGAAGTTGGTCTAAGATCTCTTCTCGCTTCAGTGATGACTTTTTGCAAGCATGTGAAAATTTCCAGATTCAAAAATGTTTCTGGCGTATTTTTCTTGCGCTGTGACTATATTATATTTAACGTTTCTTCACATTTGAAGAGGATGTTCCTCTATTTGTATTCATAAAAGTAATGGGACTTAGTGGTATCTATATTTAGTCCCCAGCTCATGGCAATCTGAGACCTATTTTAAGAGCGAGATGGCTTTATACATACACCAAGTTAATATAATAATTTATGATAAAATCCAATAGAGGTGGACAGAGAACATGGTTTCTCACTACTGTCTTAAATCTTAATCAGGTCACTGCGCTATCCCAGTAGCTCTGTCAGTTCCACTTAGCAGCAGCTCTGTTATATTTAACCCAGACTTTTTCACTATTCCACAAAGCTTCTGCTAGTGTTTCTTAACTCTCTTTTGTAGAAGGCTTATTTGTACTTCAAATTAYCATTTAAAAGCATATTCCTTGAATTTAACGTGACAGCGTAGAGAAAGCACTTCTCTTTGTGAATTACTTGGCTTCCTTAGCATTTACACTTTACATTTGCCCAAACACATGCTATCTAGCTAAAATTCTAGGAGTGAGAATGGACATTCTCCGAGCAGACTGTCCTGCTTAAAAATTTAGCTTGAGATAAGGAATATGTCTCAAGAAAGAGTATGTCTTGAGTCATGTCAGCATGTCAGAGTACATATTGAAACAACTTGTTGACATTGTGGGTGAAATTTCTGAATGCTTTACTAAGAGTAAGTCTGATAACGTTCATGATTGACAACTTAATGCCTGAAATTATTAAAAGCAGCTATAAATACGGTTGAAGTTTACAACTGCTTCCAAACATTCATATCTATTTGCCGGTCTTTATCAGTGTGAATGGAACAGGAATCTTATATTTTAGCAGAAGAATTGATTATAAAAATATACATTGTGTTTTATGCAAAAAATGGAGAAAACTCAACAACGCAACAGAAACGCATTGGAGTAGGGCCAATTCCAGACATAAGATAATTAGACAGACATAAGACAAAACTTTTCATAGTGTAATTGGTCAAACAAGTGAGAAGAGATGGCCAGGAGAGGCTGGACTTGCTTTGAGCTGKAGGTTGGACAAGATGAGGTCCAGAAGCCCCTTCCAACCTCASCTACTCTGTGGTTCTGTGTTGCAAAGGGAGGTGTGAGTGTTTATTTAGTGACTGYGGAGGGGCCACGTAAAACTAAGGCTGTTGTCAGGTATGAAACAACCCAAACCCTTCAGTTTGGAAGGGGAAACACAGTTTAACTGCCCRCAGTTGTGAGGGATTTCTAGCTGTTTGATGTTTCTATTCCTCCCATGGGAAGCTTGGTGCTAGCTTGGGGGAAAAATATATTGTGAAAAACTTCCATTTATTTCAGGAAGAGGTAAGATTTTTGTGGAAGATTTTTGCTCAGACTGGGAAAACGTACTAAATACAAAGGTAGTTTAGGGAGCTAGGAATCTTTTTAAAAGGTTTCTCTCAAAAAGGTGCTCTTCTAGGTAAATTGACAGATACATACTGTCRATAAGAGTGTAAATAGGTACTAGTAATACTCTGAAGATTAAAACTTCAAATACCTAATGAGGCACTTGAATTAGAAAATTATAAGAGAAATTGAGAATTTTCTTCTTTCATAAAACGTGTCTTAAGCAGTTTTCCAACACTACTTTTGGAAACACCGATTTCTGTGTCTAAGTGCGACTGCCTCATGCCCATCTGTCATCAAGCACCTCAAAGAAAGGACTGTTTGCTAATGGACTTTGAAATGATAGTATTTTCTAATTAATACATTAGTAATTGCTTGGAGAATTGGAGCAAGTGCAGTGTTTTCATGCAGTTATATAAGGTTTACCCTCCTCTAAAAAGAGCCATAGCAAATGATTTCTTATTCTTTCTCCGTTGGCCTTGAGGCGACAGTGCAGGGCCTGTATGAGAAGCCTGTTAGAAAAATCGATCTCTGTTCCCACAAGCCTAGCRAGGAATAATAAAAAGGAATAGTCCAACTTTCCTGCAGAATAAGTCAAAATGCCATCTGCAGACTTTAAGAGTATTGCAAGGACTAGATAACCAGCAAGAGCTAATGAAGTAGCTCTTCATTGAAGGTGAGGCAGGCCAGAAAAGATGAATTTTTTAATTTTTTTTAATTCAAGGGCAAAATATCAGTGATATTTCTGGAGCAGAGGCCCTCAGTGTTAAGTTCACTGAGGCAAATAAGGGAAATCTGCATATGCTGAATGAGACATTTTGTTCTCAAAGGAAAAATGAGCGCTGAGAGTAATCGAATGATGCATAGATATGCTTTGAGTTCTAGTGGGATTATAATAGGATAAAATTTGAAACAAGCGAAATTACTGAGTGATGAAAATTTAATATTGTAAAAAGACATTGAATAACAAGAACTGTAAGATATTTGGAGGACAAAGGAAAGGATTTCTTTGAGTAAGGCAGAGTGCAATATATGCTAAGTGTTTCTCATGATTCTTTTTCTCTAAACATGTGCCCAGTATCCACAAGTGCCCTGATAGCAAATATATATGTATTTAAATGGAGACAATATCAAATACATATATTTTTAAATGGATACAAAAGTAGATATTTCTAATGTAGACATTCACAGATTCATGTGTAACTAAATAAATTGCCAGTGAACAAAGCACCAAAAGCGTTTTAAATAATCATGCTTAAAGGCAAACAAAAGCATACTGCATACTGTGCAACAGGAGAATATCTCCCTGTGTAGCAACAGTGTAACAGTGATTTAATATCCCTTTAAGTTAAAATGCAGGACTAGGGAAAGGGTCATAAGTAAGGCAAGGCTGCCTTAATAAGTCTGAATACCGAAAAAAGACAAAACTGATTCAAGGTACAAATAAACTCTGATATAGCAGGGGATAAGAATAATAAGCATGTGTCTTTTGCATCTGTTACATGGGGAATGCATGTGCTTTGTATTCCAAATCCAGGGTTCTATATTTGTGCAGAAAGGTCTTCAAATCATTAAACCCGATTTAARAAGGCTAATAACAATAAGATCAAAAAAGCAAGCAAAACATGAAGTTAAGAATATGTTTTTTGATATTTTTCAAGATACTTGATGATGTTACACCTTTTAAAAACACAAATTAACTACGAGTTGATATCAATAGTGCGATACCAACACTCTGCACTGCTCTCAATAGAGAAAAACCTCATTCTGAGATCTGCATAAATACAGATCTTGGACAGGTAAATGGCTGGATATGAAAGAGCTGTAAGTTA